TTGCTATATAGCAATAGATAAGCAGACAAAGTTGAACCTTAGAGGTTAACAGTCATAGTTTCAAATTTCAAGTCCCTCGCTTACCAGCGTGTGACTGTGGAAAAATCACCTAAAATCTCTGAGCTTCATTTTCCTCATCTGTGAAGTGAGAATCACAACAGAATGTACCTAATGGGTTTGTAATGGGGGGTTAAAAGAGAGAATGTATGAAATGCAACAAGCACAGTGACAAAGTCTTAGTGAATGGGTCACTAGGTAGCTACTATAGTTAGTACATCAGTGTGAGTCGTCTGCTTTTGTCCAAAAGGTAGATGAGGAACTTGGGGAATGTGGGAGGAGTTAATTTAAGAGTCTGGTCTTTTGGTCTTTTGCTAATAACCTGAGAGTAAGGTTAGGTCATTAGCATATTTGCATTAGCTTCTCATTTTTTTCCTTAAGCCAAGAGGGGATTTTGAGTCACTGGAGAAACGTTCCAAAGAAATTCTGGGGTCAGAAGAAATATTACCACTTGGCCTTTGAAAATGTGGCTGTTGTGATCCCCTAGAGGACACTTACCACCACCACACGAGCTGATGAGGCCTGGTTCATAGAGGCATAATGAGCAGTTGAGCAGCCCTGGTTGTTGTCACAGTGAGATCTCTGGGTCTTCTAGCGCAGAGAGGAGGAGGGCTCTAAAGTCCCCTGGAGGCGAGGAGGGTGCTGTTGTCCAGTGTATGTGGGGGGCGGGGGGGGGGGTGAGCAGGGTTGGGAGGGCAACACTGGAATTCAGAGTGAGTGAGGGCAAGTTTAAAGAGGCTGAACCCCAGCAGAGAGATCTAAAGAAACATCATACTGATGTTTAATGCATCATCATACTGATGTGTTCAAGCAGAGTTTTGTCATTCATTCATTCATTGATAGAGGCATTTGTTCATTCAACAACTATTTATTACATACCTCTGTGTGCTAGACTCTGTACTGTTCTCTGGAGACCCATGGTGCATAAGAGATGGTCCCTCCACCAGGGGCTCATAATCTGGTGGGGGAGATAGACAAGCAAACAACTGGAGGATAAAGAGTGATGTGAGAACATAGAGGAGGAGCCCCAATCTTGGCATCAAATCTGCTCCACCTCATGACAAAGTTCTAAAAGGAGCAGTGAGTGGGGCATGAGCTGTGTGTGGAAAAAAGGACAGTCTCAGGATTGACAAAATATGAGCTACAGGCAGAGCCCACAAAGAGACCAGAGGCATCAAAGGACAAGCCCCACTAGCCTCTTGGGGGCCATAGACTGACCCCACTTTGAGGCTGAGCTCCTGGAATCTGGTGGGTCTGTTCCAAGCTTCCCATGGGGCCCGCAGAGAGGGAGCATCTCTCACAGGCACAGATGTAAAGCAAAGCATCTCAGCTATGTCTCGGTTTTGGCTCCAAAGATGACTTCTGTGTGGGCGAATCTTTTTCTTCAAGTGTTCTATTACTTTTTGTTGTCCGTGTTCTAAAACATTCTTTAAAAAAAGCTAAAATAAACTTGCACAGAGTTCAAAATGGCAGACTGTAATTAGAGCCAACGTCCTCTTCCTTCCAATGTTGGCTTGTCTGCCAAGTCATCTCATACATACTTGGTGAGACTATGCTACCCATCTTCTCCTTCCTCCCACCTCCCCAAATTCCCACCCATATGAGGTTCATAGACAACAGCTGTGGTCAAAGGCTAACACCCAGGGTGAAGTTTACCCTGAACTCTCTTTGGGACTTGGCTGAGGGACTTTAGTTGTATCCCTATTTGGAAATTGAATCGCCTACGTGGGATAGGGACTCAAGATGACATTTCTGTCAGTGACGGTATGGAACTCTCTCCTTCCTTACCCAGCTGACTGTCTAGCCTGAGTCAGGAATTGATTTCTCCCTGGAGTAATAACACAGTGTGGGCCAGCAGCCATGGCCAAGTCCAATCTGAGTGTAATGTTCATCAGCCTCACTTGGTGGGGGGTCCCAGTTCTGGTCTGAGAGCTCCTGGAGGGCAAGAACTAGAACTTCTTTCCCATTTGCCAACACCCAGCAAGCTCTCAGCATCTAGAAGGGGCTAGTAGTGTCCACTGAATTCAACCTGGATATCACTTAGGCAGACAATAGCCCTCAGATTCAGGCGTCTTCTACAGCCAAATAATAATAATGATAACGGTAACAGAAAAACAAGTACCATTTATCAAGCCCTACTGTTTTGTCAGGTACTAGGACAAGCACTTCACATTTAGCTCATTGAGACTCAGAGCCTCTAGTGTGTAAGTGTCCTTACCCTCATCTTGTAGATGAAGAAATGGAATCTCAGAGGTGAGATCTCTTGCAACAGCCTGGTTGATGGGGCTTGGACCTGAACCCAGGATGGTCGGTTTTCAAGACTAACTCTTAACCATGACATTTTGTTGTGGATGCCTGGGCTAACACTACTGGAAGAGCCCAACCCTGCCGAGTTTGCCCGGTACCAGGGAACAAATTGACACTCAGGGATCCTGTCAAGTGTCACATTTGTCTAGGGTATAATCTCAACTCTTTCTTTGTCTGGAAGCCCAGGAAGCAGGAACCAGGCATGTGCAGCGGGAGGGTGGGTTTTGGTACCTAAGCAGCAGAGAGACAAATGCCATCTGAATTCCCACTTGAAATAAGCAAACCAGCCCCGGGGCTCACATGCACAGAGCAGGGGACTGAGGGATTCAGTGGTCTGTTTATTTCAGTCTGTCTTTGACCTTGCGCTACATTCACCAAGCAACTCCCAGTGAATGCAGAAACCTTTCCCCTGCCTTGGGAACATTTCCATACAAACAGAAACAGTGCACAGATGACAAAAATTAAGATGTACTCTCAGGCTCGCCATGCCGCATTATTTAAAACAATTATAGTATGATTTTGCTTTCACATAGCCATGGAAACCCTGCTGAAAGGATTTTATACAATTGATTGTGTGAAGCTTAAGAAGAAATCTGGTTCCCCAGTGCTGGAAAACAAAGCAAGCCAGTTCCTCCCCACTTCCATACAAGGTGTGATGGATGCAAATTGTGGATCAGTGACCTCGCTCAGCGGGCCACTGAGCTTTCAGGAAAGCATTCTGGAGATAAGTGGACCTGCATCCTTTAGATGTGTCAGGAAACAAAGCTGGTGCCAGAGGAAGGATAATCTTCTTTGATGTGCCCAAAGCTGATTTACTCTTTCAGAAAGGGAAGCATAGCTCTGAGTGGCAAGATCACAAAGCTTTGCAGTAAACACAACAGAGAAATTTCCCCTGGGACCAGGTTACCCCAGGAGCCTTTCCATTCACAGGCTCCTCTTACAGGTATCTCAGACCTCAGTGATGGCATCCATGAAGGAGGGGGCTTGATATCGGGGTCTGGTGGTTGAACATGGCTTCACTTCGGAGCCTATTGGTACCTATGGCACAATGTTACAGCATCGGTTCTCAACCCTGCCTACATATTAGAAAACCCTGAGGGTCTTAGGGAAATACTGGATGCTTAAGCTCCAGACCTTATTGATTAGATTAGAACCTGTGAGGCCAGTGTTGGCACTGATATTTTTTAAAAGCCCACCAGGTGATTCAAATGTGCAGCCAGGGTTGGGAACCACTGCCCTGGGACTTGGACTTCTTTAGGCTGAACTCTTTTATGCTTGCTCTGCTTCCCAGCAAGAGATGCAGTGCCTGCTGATCTGTAAACCCAACAGCCTGCTTAGCACAAAATTCCAATCTCTGTAGTTCAATTGTTTCTCACTAGTTTCAGTGGGTGGTGGGCAGAACATTAAATTGCAGGAGAAGCTGGGGAAGCTGAGTGAAGGGCTTCTGTAGTACTATTTTTGCAACTTCCAGTCCATCTATAATAATTTCAAAACAAAACATTGAGCAAAATTGCAACTAAAGGCTTGGGTTCAAATTCTGGATTTGTTCCTTATTAGGTATGGGACTTAGGGAAATAACTTATCCCCTCTGGGCCTTTTCCTTTGGAAGGTGAAGGTAATTATGTCTATTTGTTGCATGATCAAAGGAGATAATGAAAGTGTAAAACCTACATGTTAGCCGGGGTCTCTTTGCCCCATAGGGGCTAGATGAGATTGTTCAAACCCTCAATCTACAGATATGGAACATTTATATACTTTCTCAAGAATCATGGAAATTTCTGAGCAACTTACAGCCTGTGGTCACCTTAGGCTATGAGCTCCTGCTTCTACTGTATGAGTCAGTTCAGCTGTTGTCTCACCACCTGACTTGATTTGTTCAACCCAAATGTGCAACTCAGTCACTCCCCTCACCTTCCCCCAAACAAACCTCTCACAGGCATTTTAGAGTGTAGGTGACTTTTACTGAAGGTTTGGAAGGTAAAGGGAATTACACTGTAGCATCATAAATGACTCACAACACAGTGTCATGCAATCCTGTTTCTAAAGTTTCTTGGCCATTTCCATGTTACCGAGTCTTCATCTCTTCTGCTCCCTCTTCCTTTCTCTCTTTTTCCTTGATCCTTAAGTTTCTTTGCATTTCTAATATGGAACATTTAGCTATGTCATTTATGTCCTTGGCTCTCAGTCTTTTCTCCAGAGAGCTTATCAAAATATTTCCTGACACATCCCATCCCTCCGAAGCTCCACAGAGATTCAGTAGGTCAACAAAAGCCAGCCCCGATTCTGGCCGGGTGTGAGGATAACAGCAGGACCGTGCTCTCAGCTCAAGCTCACCGTCCACACAACCCCCCAGCCTCCACATCTCGCTGTTAACCCTGTGAAAGCCGCAGGTGTCAGGGGCGGGAAGGGGTCCATGTCAAACTTTCTCTGCTTTTCCAGGTTCAGATCTGAAGACCACATTCTGGACTTTGGGGTTTCAAAAATCCAGCCTTTTAGGGGAGTAAAAAGGCATCTTGCTAAGAGAGTAGATCTTAAAAGTTCTCATTACAAGAAAAAAAACTATTTTGCAACTGTGTATAGTGATGGATGTTAACTAGACTTATTGTGGTGATCATTTAACAATGTATACAAATGTTGAATCATTAAGTTGCACACCTGAAACTAATGTGATGTTATATGTCAATTATACCTCAGTAAAAATAAGAATAACCAAAGTAACAAAGTTTCCAAGGAAGGATCAATAGTAATAAAAAATATTGTAATGATGGCCCAAAAAATGCTTCAGCATTTATAAACAAACAAAAACAGCTTATAGAGGCTTCTTCTACTTTGAATAAAGAATGGCATTTTAAGTGATATAAATAAGTCTTCTCATCCAACAATGACATTTCATCTGAAATACACAAGTTTACAAAAATTGAAGGAAAATGCACTGAGCGAAGTTCCCCCTGGCAAACCGCACACATTCAACAGGAATGTAAGTTGTGTTGCTGCTCATAGGCCTCCTACTGACAAGCCCACCTGGGAGGCCTGGGTCCTGGAGACCCGGAGGGGCTGGTGCTCTGCAAACGTTTCCTCCATTTGTTCTCCTGGGCTGATGACGGGAAACTAAGAGTCTTGAAGCAGATGACTGAAAAACAGAAGGCATCCAATTGGTTCCTACTGCCTAGGAATAGCTCCAGAAAGCCTTCTCCCGTTCCCTTTCTTGAGAATGTTTCTCTGCATCCTGCCAGACCCAAGGTGGCCTTGCAAGACCGTGGCCCTGAGAAGCATCTCCTCAGCAAGGCAGAGTGGCTCAGCTTCCCCCGTGCTGCCGTGGAACCCTGTTCATCCCTCCATCTTAATAGGCTTCTCCTTTGCTTGCGTGTTGCTCCCTCTCTTCCCCCAACTCCCTGCACTAGCTGGTGAGCTCCTCAAAGGTAGGAAGCATGTCCTTTCCAACACATAACACAGTCCCTGGTGCAGAGAAGGCATTTGATAAATGTTTGCTCTAAGAATCAGTGAATGAATGAGGGCTCGCAAAATGACAGTGCTGAGGTTGCTAGTGTCATTTATTTTAATACCATGCAAAATACAGAGTGGGCATGATCTCCTGCTCCTGACTCTTTTGTGATTGGTTAATCAACAAGCTGTGACTAAAGACAGCTGCAGCCTAAAACCAGGTGAGAGGGAAGCAATGGCGACCACATTCTTGGAGAGGTTTATAATCAGCTATAAACGACAGTGCTACACGACATTGTTAGAGCCATTCTTTAGAGCTTATACAGGGCTTTGCTTCATTTAAAAATATCCTAGCAAGGATAAAGGACAGCACATTTTATAATCACTTACCAGTAATTACCAGCTAGCCTGTGATAGGGCGGGATTAAAATTCAAATCTGTGGGACTTCAGACTCTGCTCTCATATGCTTTTCTTGGAATAATTCATTTCCGGAGAGAGAAGCTAAATGCCTCCAGCAGGCAGGGTGTGTCTCTTAGCAGCAGGAGGCAGGGCTCAGTTCCCATGGCCCAGCCGTCCTTCTTCCTCTGGGAGCCTTTGAACCTGGCCTGTGGCATATCTGGACTTCTTAGCTTCAGGTCCATGCTGGCACTGGGGATGGAGAGGGACAATAGGCAGTTGCTGAGGCATTTGTCAAACCTCAGTGCTCACGCTTATTCAGGGACATTCAATTGAGGTTGCATGACATGTACTCATCTATACTTCATGGAAGTTTAGTCCACGCATATTTATTGAGTAGCTTCTCTGTGCAGGCACTGTTCTAGATGCTGAGGATTCTGAAATGAACAGGAGAGTTATGGTCCCTACCCTGATGGTCTAGTGGAGAAGATGGGCATCTAAGGAATAAATGATTATAAATGTGCAGATTGCTATGAAGGAGAAGTGCAGTGCAAATCAAGGTATAATGGGAGTAAGGATGGAGGCTGAGAACAGGGTCACCATCTTGTGCAAACTGTAGTCTCTGTGAATGGTGCCCTCTTGAGTTATGTATTGTACACCCCTCTGGTCAGTATAGCAGTCCTGACTGAGAGGGGGAAATGACATGTAAACTGAGAAGGATGAAAAAAGATTGACCAGGTGAAGAAAGGAGGAATGGAATGTGCAAAGGCCCTGAGACAGAAAAGAGCTGAGCATGGCCAAAGGACTAAAGGAAGAGTAGTGTTGAATAGAAGAGAGTGAGGGACAGCATGGGGGGCCCTGTGCCTGGAGGAGAAGGAAGAGCTGGATCAGGCAGGGCCTCGTAGGTCATTGGAGGTAGTTTGAATACCATTTTAATTGTAATGGGAAAACATTCAGTGATTTTAAAGCTGGGAATGACATGATATGATTTACATCACTTTGGCTGCCATTGAAGGACGGATTGGGGTGGAAGCAACAAGATGGATGTTTAGAAAGTGCTCGGGAGGCTGCTGCCCAGATGATTTGCAAAGTGCCTGGTACACATTGGGTGCCCAATAAACTTTGGCTTCCTTTTTCTTCTTTCTCTTACAAGTGTGACATGCTTTGCAATTCCCAAAGCACTTTCAATTCATGGTTTCATTTGGTCTGCATAACAGCCCTGGGAGGTGAGGTGGGTGCTATCACCCTTCATGCAGCAGTAACTGAGGCTTAGAAGGGAAAAGTGGCTTTCCCAAGGTCCAACAGCCAGTAGCTCCTGGAGCCAGTCTTCAGATCAAATCCAGGAACTTGACTGATCCCCAGTTCTACCATATCATACAACGTCCAAACTAAATTATATAATTACTTACTTTTTTTAAACACTAAGAACTAATTCAAAATTTCCCGGAGTCATAAGTAGCAAGCAGAAAAAGAAAGAAAGAAAAATGCCAATGAAAGAGCTGATCTTTTCCCAGGAACAGCCCAAGTCATCCAAACTTCAGAGTGATTGAGTTAAGAAGACTGTATTTCATTGGGGCCACGGTGGCTCTCTCTTCTTTTCATCTTTGTTTACCCGGTGCGGCCACTGAAAAGGATCCAGCGTGCTCCAAGTCTCAGAAGATATATTTTTGCTCATTACTCACCAAACAGAGGTTAAGACATAAACAAATCAACATTATTTATACTGAATGAGGCAAACATTCCTTTCAAAGACTTTCATTTCCTCTGGGAACATGTGCTACCTGAGCCATAGCCACCGAAATATGTATTTTCTTTCCCTTTTAAGGAAATGCCACCTCATTGCCAAACCTCAAACACAACATCCCAAGTGGAAGGAGCTGTTCCAAGTGCAGCAGGGAGAAAACTCAGGTTCAAAAGCATCTCGGTTCTCCTCCACCAGGGGCTCCGTCCAAAACTGTCTGTGGATAGTGTTCAATGTCTGCAAATCTTCTCTTGGAAAGAGATTTTCGTCACAATTGCATTATAACATTTTTCCCCAAGATGCCTCCTTGTCTAGGAGCCAATGGCTCAAACCTTGAGCAGATCGCTCCCAGACCTTGTTTCCAATGCTCTCATTAAAAGCGGGGCAGGCGTGAGGGAGGGCTTAACTTGCCTTTGTCCCTGGCACTGGGGAACACCAGATAAGTTGTGAGTTTGAGGTTTGAAGACAATAATATGCAATTGGCCCTCTTCTCTTTTTTTGGCTAGAGTTTTGTCAGGGTCAATTCACTTGAATTTGTTGTTTTACTAGAATCTCTATGGAAATTACTAATCCAGAGCATTACAAGCATGGTCCTCATTAAAGTATAAAACTTTGATGTGGGCCAATATGGCCCTGGGGAAATGGAGAATGGGTAAACAACAGGAAGAGGGGATTTTTTTCCAGCAAGCTGGGGTGGGGGGAGGGGTGGAAGGTACTAGAACCCAAAGCTGCCATGGTCCCAAGACATGACCAGTGGAAGGTCTGGGCTTGGGCACTCAGGAGAGACTGCTTGTGAGGTTGCAAGGATGCCAAACACACTCTCCTTGGCTTGGCTTCTCTGTCACCACCCACTTTTCCTGGGGCTCCTCCCAGAGGTGGAAGGAAAAGGCAGGTGCAGCTCTTGTGTGGCTGCATCTGCTGGCATCAGGCCTCAGTTCTGAGGAGGAAGCTCAGAGGAAGAGACCTGGCTGTGGCTGTCGCATAGGGGCAGAAGCAGAGGTGGAACAGGGACAATTGCAGGACGTATTGCAGGCTTCCTGGATCTCTGCCCCTATCACCCCCCGACTCCTCCCACCTCCCCACCACCCCTACCTTTCCCACCTCCCACTCATTTTTCCCTCTCTCAGCGGCACTTGGTGATAACGTTAGCATTTACCACATCTGCTGAGGATTATCTGTGCACAAATTTGTATCCCTCAGGGTTCCTTGACTGCGAGTGACAGAAAGTGATTCTGATTAGCAGGGGAAAGGGCTTTCATCAGGGGGTAGATCAGGGCCTCAGAATCAACAGGACTGTTGAAACGCCAGACTGGGAGACAGACAGGAGGCAAGGTGGCCCCAGGGGGCTAGATGGGAACCCCTGGGAGTTGCATTTACCAGGACTTTGCACTCAGGATGCCACCATGTGGGTGGAGGGACCACATCAAGGCTCCTTGGGATACCCACCCAAGACCTAGAAATGGGGGAAAGCATGTGTTTACTAAGGCTAGTCCAGCCTGGTCCCTGTGACATGAGAGCACTGAGGGAGGCTTTGGGGAAAGCAGCTTCTGATTTCTCTAACCAGGGGGCAGGTGCATGGGTTTACCACCCCACTAAAGCCAACATGGAAAGAAACCATGGTGCTGTTAGGGAAGGTGCATGGATGGGAGCAGGGCATGAGAGAACAAGGGTCACTGTGCTTTTTCAGTCTCCCCACCCCGGGGCTGAGCCTTTCCAGGCAGAGGACCAGGTGCTGTTTTTCTCCTCTTTGTATTCCCAGGGCAGAGTCCCCTGTTTAATGCAAATATCCCAAAACAGGAGGCAGACCTGAAGGGTCTCAGACAGGGGGCTGGGGTTGGGCTTGCTGCTGCAGGTTCAATGCCAGAAGGGAGAGACCCTCAGAGAGGAGGCGAGAGGTGTCCACGAGCTCCTTCTGAGTACCTCTGGCTATGAACACGGCTCTCTGCAGGAGCTAAGGGAACGGGGAGCGTCTCCTCCCAGATCCCTGGCAGTTGCCAATCCCAGATCTCTAGGAGAATCTCTAGGAGCAGGCAAAAGGCAGGAGAGAGAGCAGCTGAGAATCTCAGAGAAAGCCCACCTGCCATACCTCTCCCTGTGGACCCCTTGCTGTTCTAATGGCAAATGATGGCTGCCTTTGTCCCCTTCCCTTCCTCCCGCTCCCGCAAGCAGGACCCCAGACTGCACATATTTATTTCTGAAGCAATTAGAAAAATGACACATAATGATTGCTGATTGAGTTACAATTTTAACCCTGGCTGAGCCTTATGTTGTAACAGAGGGTCCTCCAAGACCAGTTCAACTGACCCCCTTTTTTTATCAATAGAGTGATTAAGAATAGCCTTTCAGAAAATCTGCAAAGTCATGTAGCCGGGACATGTGCAAAAGAAGAAATCATGACCTGAAATGATCGCAGAACCAAAGATCCTCCTTCCCAGGGAACCTAAGGACCAGAACATGACCAGAACCTGAAGCTCAGACTCTCATCAGGAGCGTGGGTCCCTCATTCAAGAAGACCTGGTGTTAAAATTCCTTCCCCACCTCATCAAAACTGTTTAGAACCCTGTCATAAATGTTTGGAGCCCTGTCATAAATGTTTGGAACGTTACCATAAATGCTTGAAGCCCACCAATCAAAACCCATCCCACCACATTTCTACATGCCAGCCTGTTCTCCCTAACCTCTTAAATTTTGCCCCAAATCCTGAATCAGGGAGACAGATCTGTGGGCACACATCCCCTGTTCTCCTTGCAGGTTGAACTCGCAGAATAAAGCTGACCTCTTTTCCCAAAGGCTGATGCCATAATTGGTTGGCTTGCTTATGTGCATTGGGCAAGTGAACCCCAATGTTGTGCAGTAACAATGCTTTAATGAGAAAAGCACAGGCTCTGTGAGGTTGGGAAAGCCACGTCACCTCCCTCGGCCCCTGTTTCCTCTTCTCTAAAGTGGTAGGGGCAGAGGTGAGCTCGAAGTGCCTGCATTCTCATTGGTCCACCATGCTGAATGACTGCTCAGCTAGGAGCACATGAGCCTCATTTATTTGGGGGCTGCACTCAGAATTGAGAGGCACAGCTGGTCTCGTAGGTGACGGCCAGGCAACACTGCAGTAATCTATTACCTGTGCCTGTTTTCCTTTGTAAAGGGCTCTGATAAAAGATCCCAGAGGTGCTGCGGAGTGGGGAGAATCGGGGATTTTAATATACATGCAATGACTTTTAGGGCCACGTCAGCATCTCCAAGCCCAGCTGGCACAGACTTGTAGGTCACAAGATGAAGCCTTTGGCTCATGTTCTGCTTAAAAATAAGATGGAAACACACTAGGAACCCAGAATATCCTTTAGCAGACAAGGGGGGGCTACCTGGTACAAGTCAGGTGTGTGTGGGGGGTCGGACGGAAGAGAGATTACAACTGACGCTCGTTTTGGAGAGTCACATATCAGCATATTAAAGACCCCTCAAGGTCTCGACTTAAAGAAAAATGTTTAACTTTTTATAACTTAGTACTCATGGAACTTATTTGAGCATGTAATATTTCCTCTTCATGGTCTACTTGTTGATTGCTGGCAACTCTGCATTATTTATTTGCACACATACTTTTGTATGGGATGGGAACTTCCCAAGTGAACTGACGCCAAGGGCTCTCCAGCCTGTTTCCACAGAGATGGGTCATGTTAGACAGCTTGTAAAGAAGTAAGTGAATAAGTCAATAAGGTCGTCAAACATTCTTTGAGTGAATCACCATGGGTCAGGAATATAAATTTGTAAAAATATGTGGTTTCTTTCTTCAAGGAGCTTATAGTCTAGTCAAAAAGAAACACATGAGGAATGACATGAATGTGCCTTCAGTAGTGCTATGGACTGCATTGTGTCCTCTTGTTATGGATTGAATATTTGTGTCCCCCCAGATTCATATGTTGAAACCTTGTCTCCCAATATGATGGTGTTAGGAGGGGAGGCATTTGGATGTAATCAGGATTAGACGAGGGCGTGAAGGTAGAGCCCTCATAAATGAGATTAGTGGCCTTATAAGAGTCCCAGAGAGCTTGCTTTTCTCTGCTCTCCACCATGTGAAGATACAACAAGAAGTCAGCAGTCTGCAACCTGAAAGACAGTTCTCACCAGAGCTTAACTGTACTGGCACCTGACCTAGGACTTCCAGCCTCAATACTGTGAGAAAAATAAATATCTGTTGTTTATAAGCCACCCATTCTTTGGTACTTGGTTACCACAGCCTGAACTGACTAAGACACCCCCCAAGTTGTATGCGGAAGCCCCAATCTCCAATTTGGAGGGGGGTCCTTTAAGGAGGAACTTAAGGTTAAATGAGGATGTGGCCCTAATCTGATAGGACTGTGGCCTTCTAAGAAGAGGAAGAGAGGGACATATGTCTCTCCACACACATCGAGGACAGGCCAGGTGAGGACACACGAAGAAGCTGACCATCTGCAAGCCAGGAAGAAAGACCTCATCAACAAACTGAACTTTGCTGGAACCTTGGTTTTGGACTTTCCAGCCTCCAGATCTGTGAGAAGATAAATTTCTATCATTTAAGCCATCCAGTCTACGGTATTTGGTTATAACAGCTCCAGCTATTACAAGTACATGTTAAGGCAGGAGCGGAGGATTTGAAGTCAAACGTGGGCAGCCAGGGAAGTGTCAGAAACTACAACCAGGTGAGCTGTGCCTGTTCCCTGCAGTACACCATCCTGGCCATGGGCTCTGTGGACTTCTAGAAGCCAAGATGCATCTCTGGCCCCAGTCTCCTCATCTGCTAGCTCTGGATGCCTTTAAAATTCTGTAATTATGCGTCCCTTGTATTAGTTTGCTAGGGCTGCCGTTACAGATTACCCCAAACTTGGTGGCTTAAAACAGCAGAGCTGCACTGTCTCACGGTTCTGGAAATCAAGGTGTCACAGGGCCGTGCTGCCTCTAAGACAATCTTTCCTTGCCTTCCCTAGCATCTGGGCTGCTGGCAGTCCTTGGAGTTCCTTGACTTGTGCCTGTCTCACTCCAATCTCTGCCTCCTTCTTCACACGGACTTCTTTTCTGTGTGTGTATCTGTGTCTTCAATTCTCCTTGTCCTTATAAGGTCACCAGTCATTCAATTTAGGGCCCACCCTAATCCTAATGACCTTAACTTGATTATATCTGCAAGGATCCTGTTTCCAAATCAGGTCACATTCACAGGTCCTGGGGGTTAGGACTTCAACATATCCTTTTGTGGGACACAATTCGACCTACAACAGCCTTCCATAGACAGACGAGATCAACTTGCCCAAGGTTTGTTGAATCACCTTGTAGACTATGTCATAAGCCAAAAAAGATTTATCAAGATTGGCCATGTTTACAAACAAAAATGTGCAAGCTGGAAAGCACGGCATTCTACTACTGCCCGGTCTCCGTACTGCTGGTCTCACACTCTTCTGTCCATTCTCCACCGTGCTCTGAGAATGATTGCAGGAAAATCCAAATCTAATCATGCTACTGCTCTCTCCAAAATTATTCGGGGCTCCACCTTCCCTAAAGCATAAATGCTTTAGTCCATTGTAGAACATGCCAGCCCTTCATGACTTGATCCCTGCCCAGTCCAGCGTGGCTTCGAGTCCTTGTTCCTCCAATTCATCAGAGCACTGGGATGTCAGAAGGCACAGTTAGGTGGACAGGGGGCAATAGTGACCCCCTAAAGCTCCACAGTTGGGGCTACAGAGGGTAGATGAGATGGGGGCTGTGGATCGGTGGAGGCTGCCCCAGAATGGAGCAAAGAGGAATGCAGTGGGGGTTCTGCCAGAAGAATCTTGAAAATGACCAATCAATGCCTAAGGATTTGCCTGGATGAGAGGCTCGTCAGCAGAGTTTGTGTGACCCTCTTGTCATTTCCGGGTCTAGAGACGGAGTTAGATTAGTGTGCTGACCACGGCAATAGGACAACAAACTCACCACAGGCACTCACAAGGAGGTGACACGCCCTCCTCCTCCTTGCCCAGCACCAGAAGATGAGTACCTGGAAGAGGCATGGGGAGGAGGGTGGTGAGAAAGCAGATCCTGACCCATCCCTGCCCACGGCCCCAAATCACAGGAGCTAGAAATGCAGTCAGCATGGGAAGACTGGCGGGAGAAGAACTTAAGAAACAAATATCAGCTTGCATTTTAAACAGATAGTATTGGGCTAACCTGGTGGCATAGCGGTTAAGTTCACACACTCCACTTTGGTGGCCTGGGGTTTGTAGATTCGGATCTCAGGTGTGGACCTACACACTGCTCCTCAAGCCATGCTCTGGAAGCATCCCATGTACAAAATAGAGGAAGATTGGCACAGATGTTAGCTCAGAGCAAATCTTCCTCACCAAAAAAAAAAAAGCATCAAGTCCTACTAGGGGAAACAACATAATGGCTGAAAGTTACAGAATATAGTTGCCTACAATTTCTAAAGAAATGAAATTGTGCAATGTTTATGCCTAGCAAGTTAAGACCCTTTAATAATCTTTTAGAAGAGGAAACCGAAGCCAAAAGATATTAAGTAGCTATCATATTCAGTTCTGAGGAAAATTAAATTGTGCACGGTCCTTGGCATATTACCAAGTGCTCTGTAGATTTCAGCCTTTGTTATTTCAGACAGAGAAAAACATGAACATGGCATGCTCTGCTGAACCCTGTAATGCCTCCATTTGGCAGTTGTCATACAGATTCCAATTCTCGCTGTGCATGTCTCCCTGCCTGCTTGACCGTTTGTTTTGTGCCTGGCACATAAATGATAAATGAGTGAGTGAGTAATGAACGAATGGAGTAATAAATTGAATGATATTCCTTCTTCAAATTGCAGGAGTTGCGAGGAGACTTGGTAGGTAGGTTTAGCTAAAATTGTTGGGATACTGGATAAATACGGTGATAAACTCAAGATTTGGAATATTTTCTTTGAGATGCAGGCGGAAATAAACTTGGGTTTGTGCGAGGATAAGTGAGGGGATGTTCTGACCTCTTTGAGCCAAGCTTGACCAGTGATGTAGGATGCAGGGGAGGGTTGTCTCTCTGGTTTCCAGTGAGCCCTCGGCAGCCTGGATTAGATGGTGACCAGTGACAAAGGGAATGCAAAGCTCTCCATTTGCCGTTTGTGCGTCTCCTGTGTGCACTGTGTCAGGTGGTTGTGCATTAGATCCGCCCTTTAAGAGACTGATGTGACATAGAAGAAATTGTTCCATGTGAGCGAGTTCTGCTGCAGTGATAAAAAGGAGCCAGCGGGAACCCAGCTTAGCACGGCAAAATCCCAACTAAAAAGACAGTGCGGGCCCCGTTTGCTGAAATTCAGCAAAGAATTGTGCTGACCGAGTTTTGGAAAGACATTCTCAGAAGAAGAAATTATTCCCAAGCAATTATTCTTGGAAGAGAAGCACTGTTTGTAGTGCTGGAGCCTGAGTTTCACAGGCTTCACCAAATGAAGGAGAAGTGTGAGCTGTTCTGTCCCCAGCAAGTCAGAGTCTGGCACATAGTAGCTGCTCGATAAAGACGTGTGGATTAGCCTGGTGTTGAGGCCAGAGTCCCAGGGAGGAAAATCACTGACTTGGGTAGGGCGGAGCTC